CTACAAAGGTTCACATTCTTATTAATCTACTTGCGTGAAGTAGGCTAACACACTGACTTTAACAAGCTCACAAAATATCCAGCCAGTTATTTTAATGAACGCTATCTGTGTCTGTGAGATTAATGTATTGCCAGTAAACTTTAGGTTGCTGTCATTTGTAATCCTTTGGAAATTCACATCAAATTTGTTCACATCAAACAATGCTATTCCATTTCATTTGCAATTAGTGCATAACTCCGAGTAAGTTTTTTTTTATCACGCTGGATAAAAATGAATATGTCTAGTTTACAAGAACTACGCCTTAGAGCTTTGCAGCAATTTTTTTGGAATGAAGTCTTGCAGTTTTAAGTTTAGTTAGGCCTCTGCAGTGTGTTAAAGGTCACAGGCATGGGCCCAGTAAAATGTATTATTTCAAATTCGTTTTGATTTTTTTTTTTTGTGGCAGAGCATGACACAATACGAATACTATTCTGGGAACAGTTTGTTAATGTCTCACAGCTCTGCAATCCAAAACATTTTCTCTTGTGGTGTTATGTACGCTATTTTTATTCCGTCTCCGTTCAACCTACAAGCATGCATGAATTCCCCACAGAAAACAACCTGTAATAGGAACCATGTGGGCCCACAGTGAAAAATAGGATTTTTCCTTGCACCAAGTGATTTCTGTCTTCGCTGCAGAGACCAGAGCCAAACCTCCTGCGTTGTATGCGGCCCATGTTGCAGGCCAGCCTCATATAGACTCAATTTCCTGTTTTGTTAGAGCACTGCTACACTGCTCCATTCACTGCTCTGCCCAGTCCACCGATAAAGCTCCATTAGATCAGTGCAGAAGCGATCCACCGGGATTCTCCTGCTCTGACTCATAGGATTTCTATATTCCCCCGAGAGCTTCCTGTATCTGAGTGGAATTTTGTGGCTTTGTAGTTGTGGCCAAGCACTGCCTCCCTAGCTAGGGAGGAGGAAAGGGGGAGAGGGTGGCTGAAGCGTGCTGGGCCTGGGATTGGGGAGCGGCAGAGCAGGGAGGGGGTGAGGAACTGCCTGGTGCTTTTAACCACAGATAGCATCGCAACGATGAGTCGTCTCCACTGAGCCTCGACTCTGTCATGATCACATCAATAATACTACTTTTGCTAATGATGCAACTGTGCAACGTGGAGCAGCCTTGTGTCAATGAGAGCCTGCGCTCCATGGGATCTCTGGGATAAGCCCCTGTTGATGTTCAGCATATGGTCTCAACAGTCAGGGCCCCACGTCTAGCTGGCTCAAAGGAAAAAGCCTCTAGAATTACCAGTGCATGGTACCGCTTAGCAATTAAGAAGGAACATGCTGTTGGTTATTGAACTTGGGGTGAACAACAGGATAAAGCTGGGGAGGTGAAAACTTGAGGGAGGTTTATTTTCAACCCAGACCTCTTCTCCTGCTTCACTATACCATTTTCGTTTTAAAAATAAGTTTTAATCTGTTTTGAATCAAGCCAGACTTCAGGATAGGATGACCAGAGAGGGAGAGGAAGAGAGGGAAGGCTTGCCGTGTCAAATATTTTTCATTTTTACATGCGCTTTGCCTGCCAACTTTTACTTCATAACCTCTGAATCAGCGGCTGTTGTGAATGACTAATTCAGACTCAAATTGTTTCAAACTGTTCTGCGTGACTCGAGAACTTGCAAGAGTCACAAGTCCTACTTCACTGCACCACATAGATAGGAAGCAAAATTACCTTAGTCTGTGGAGCGAGGTCATTAATTGTTATTACTGTCCATATGAATGTAGAAAGTTTGCTGGGGAAGTCTACATATACGAATGTGTCTGCTGAAGCAGTATGAGAGCGAGAGCTCCACAGCTTGCTCTCCTCCAGACTCTCCTGCTACCCAGGAAGCCATGAGGAGGACCACCCATGAGCCGGCGCGGCCGCTCTTTCCATTCGCTCCCCTTTCAGAGAGCTGAAATCTTCCACATAAAAGCCATGCGGTACCGAGATAGCCTGCCACACCAAGGATCAGGCAGACATTTTCTGTGACTTTTATTTGACTTCCTCTGCTTTCGGTTAGACCGTAACCACCTGTAAAAGCGTGTGGTACACAGTAGTTCTCTGTCTTTCAGTTCAGAGTGCGCCATACTCACGTGCCGTTTTCCTTAGATGTTAATATTACGCTTGTGTTTCTGTGTCATGGATATGTGTATTCCCATGTCAGGACGCTGTGCTTCTTATCCTCTAAAATATGCAAATCCTGTCACCCTGAGCATGCGGATATGTGCTCTAATGTTTAATAAAGGCCACTGCTTCATTCTGTCCTTTAATTACAAGGCAAGCAAAGATCTCACTAAGCAATGAAAAGAAAGTTGGAGAGGGGGTACGCCAAACATCTAGTCTGGAATGAGTTACAAAAATAAACGCTTAGTGGTGGTTTGGCAGGCTCAGATAAAAAGACACTCCAAGTGCTAAGACAAAGAGGGAAAAGCCAAGATATAGTAGGGGGGATTCCATTCTACTGGTGCTTCCAGGTTAGAATAGAAACAGGGATAAATATACACACGCACTACCCCACACACCTCAGATTTTCAGATTTACAGTGCATACCACAACAACGTCCTTCCTTTATTTATTTATTTATTTTCTTATTTATTTTCCCCCCCAGGATGGCCGTCCTTTTTTGATCTCATCAAAGAGGACTCAATAACACTGACGGATGATTTCTCCTATGGCATGCACAGAGTGGAGACTAGCTGCAGTCAGGTACATTACTTATGATCAAACCAACACACAGATTTACCACAGGAATATAATGGCTGGATCAGAAGGTCAGTTGAATTTAATGCAAAACGTGATCAAACTCTGTACAAGTGAAATTAACTCTGTGCGTATTTTCAGTGTGGCGCTCACCTCGGACACCTCTTTGACGACGGCCCCCGGCCCACTGGAAAGCGCTACTGCATAAACTCCGCCTCGCTCAACTTTGAGCCAAAAAACGTTGCTCCTGAAGGGGCAGAACCAAGTGGCGCCACAGGCCAATCATCATCATCATCATCTTCTAGTAAGACTGAGCTTTGAGGGGAATTTCGGTAGACCAGTGAAGTATTAGAACATTGACGTATATCCTTTAGAGTTCACTCCTGGATGACCAGATTCAGGTCAAGCCTGATGCATTACAGGTGAGCCTGGCAATAAGACAGATACATCCTCCACCAACCAGAAAGCTATTCTGTAGCAGTACTTAAACAGCATTATTTCAATGGCCTTGACTGATATGCTCTACTAGTCAGTCACCCATAAAAATCCCCCTATTACAGAGATGCATGTTACCTGAAACGGCTCTCCGAGAATCTGCTGTGTGCTACTGCTTTTACCATCTGCCAGTGGCTTTGATAGAGCAAGACTATGGACTGTGAGATTTTTTTCTTCTCAAAAATATAGTGGAACATTGTTGCTTGGAATTGAACTATATATGTGTACTTTCACAGAGCGATGTGTTGTTTTTGAAGTGATATTTGATATCTGGAGGTCGTGGGTTTAAGGAAAATGCTATGCAAAGTGCTCCTGTGAACGGTAAAATAAACACCAAGTAGAGAACAAAGCATTCTTTCAAATAAAATGGAACATATGACAAATGTTTAGTCTGAACACAAATGTAGCCTGACTTTTAAGGGTGGGTTTTTTTGTCTTCCTGCTTGTGGTGCCTCTTTTTCTCCTTGCCTTGACTATTTTTTGGGGGGGGGGTTTGATTTACAGATGGTGTCGACAGTTATGATTAAACAATTATTGAGTCCTGTTTGGCGTACTTTGTGTTGTGAATTCATCTGAACGTATAAAGGCACTTACCTACAGAATGTCGGGGAATGAATGTCTGCGTGCATAGGAATGACATTTTGTTTTATGATGTCTTTTTTGACTTTCAGAGAAAGTCACCATGTAAGTTCTGAACTGGGAGTTACAGCTACTCCATGGAAATAGCCAGTCCACATGGAGTGATTTTTGTTTTCATCAAGAGTGTTCGCTTTTGTATGAATATGTACATGTTAGAGAGGTTTAGAAGAGTGGTAGGATATTAGGCCATTTTAAAAACCCAAGGCTACCATAATAACAGCATCTTCAAATGGCCGATCTACCAAACCAGAACAGTTCAATAAAATGTGGAAAACTTCAATTGAGGAGGAAAAAAAAAACCCCCAGAAAATAAGCATTCACGTAATTGGGGTATTAAAACATATAATCTTTCATCTTAATCACAATAGTGAAAGGAAATCATAAGCTTTAATCTAGCTAGCCTAAAATGGTTTTGAGCCATTTACAATTTTCCACATCAGTAGAAATTTATAACAAAACGATGACTTTTATTAGTCAGACTTTTCCCACACTGATCATGTTTGCACGTGTAACTGATAATATATATGTTACCTGAGTTCAGAATTTCACATTGAGCAGAATATGGTCCAACTCCAAGCCTATCAGAGGCTTGAACTATATCAATATTTATCTGTTGTTCCACTTCCCTTTGAAGCTGTTCGGCAAAGAGCTTTTAGTTTCTTGAATGGAAGGTCAATGTTTGTTCGGGTGCTGTTTAAATGTGTCACAGACGTGCTGAAGAGACCAACATAAGACGTTACTCCTGGAACTGATAGCATGCTGGAAAACCAGTCAAAATGAACAGAACCTGTAAGAGGTCCTGCACGAGGCTTCTTTCTTCTTTTAAGATCCTTTTGTTCAAGTTTTTTCAGGTAAAAAAAAATAAAAAATCAACCCAACCCAAAAAACCCTGTTACCTTTTTTCTGTCATTCATGCTCAGCAACAATGATCATGTTCACTCCTTTTAATTCAATAGTGATACTGCACCTAGTTTTATGTAGGTTATGTATATGTATTGAATGCTGCTGATATATATATATATATATATGTAGTTTTATACATATGTATATTGAGTTGCAATATAACTATGAAATTAAAATATGTATAAATTTTACAATACATATATGTGGCAAATTGAGACACACAAATGAGGGAGGGGTCACAGTGGCTTAGTGGTTAGCACTGTTGCCTCTCACTGCTGGGGTTGGGGGTTCAAATCCCATCTCTGTCCCTGTGCTTTGGTTTCCTCTGGGTTCTCTGGTGTCCTCCCCAGTCCAAAGACATGTGTTGTAGGCTAATTGGCCTTTCCAAATTGCATGTAATGGGTGTGTTAGTGTGTGGGATTGTGCCCTGTGATGGGCTGGCCTGCTGTCTAGGGTGTGCCCCAAGTTCCCTGGGATAGGCTCCAGGCTCCCCACGACTCTGTCTATGTTAAGTGGTACAGATGGATGGAATTATACTGGTAGATTTGGCCAAATTTTATATATACACTATAAATTTACAAACAAACAAGGGTCATATTACAAACGGTATTACTGGTATCATAACATTTGCATAGATGGTTTCAATGCTTACAGGTCAAAGCATTACCCCCTTAGTATAGTTTATTTTGGTGCATTATTGATTGGAGAATGTCAGGAGAATGTCACCTCAAGGTACCATTGCAGAGAAGTCCCAGGTACTCTGAGAGCTTTTTTTTTTTTTTTTTAGCACGAGTGGGTGGTGGTGCTCTTGGTGGGTGGCTGGAAGTGCTCCAGAGCTCTGCAAGGTGACGTAAGCCCTGCTCGCCAGCCTCTCTGCTCTACTGCTGTTTAGAGAACAGAGTGACCACCCTTACTCCGCGAGTGTGGGAAAAGTCGTCCAACGGGTCCGGCACTGAGAGTGTTTACGTTACGAATGCAATAAAGAATATTTACAAGTCAGGTGTGTTTAGACTGGGGGACGATGGTGTAGAGGAAGGCCGTTGGCTGAGGGTGTAGGTTTTGGGGGGTGGGCAGCTGGAGTCTCTCAAGCCAATTTTCAACATCATGTCGTCTTTTCCCCGGAAAGCAAACAATCATGTCATTTACAGAGCAGCAATGATCATGAAAGACATTTTATGGATGTCACAAAATGTGGGGTGTCTTTTGAACCAGCGCTGCAAGTCTGCCTATTATCACCATTAAACTTTGAAACTGTCACAACCTGGACAACCTTGTGCTAATACTTTTAGAGGAATACTGTCCTGACAGCGCAGGTATCCCTCAGATGGTTCCTCTTCCGTAATTAATTTTTACTGTGCCACCACAGTTGGTGCGGCTGTGCTAAGCTGGCAGCACCATTAGGAAGCACCTTGGAAGGATTAGCCCAAACACAAGGACACATACCAGCAGCACTACCATCACAAAACACAGTCTGTTAACTCCAAGATCTCCAGGCTGTTCACCACATAATCATGTACCTACAGTTCTGGAGCCACTACTGGTCATGCAGACCTAACCCTACAGTGTTGACGATAGCTTTGCTTAGACTGTGAAAGACTGCACAAGGTACTGTATTTTAGTAAAGATTTATAACAACTTTGTGGGCCTTGTCCAGGATGTGCAACGGTTTGTATTTGCTACAAGCCATCATACACTATATGGACAAAGGTTTGTGGACACCTGACCCTCACAACCCATATGTACCCAAAAGTTGGAAGCACACAGTTACGCTGGTGGATGGTGGTGATATTAGACGGGAGGACTAAAATCTATCAGTAGCTCAACAATTAAACTATTCGGGTTGACCAGTATATTATAGCCCATAATGCTTGACTGAGTTCATGCCACGTTTCCTTTGCATAGCAAACCCGGTAAATAGAAATGCTCTAACCTTATGGTTCTGTCGTCTATCCTATTGTGTAATTTGTACTTCGATTAGACAATGCTCAATCTATCAACTTTTAGTTTTGCCTCCAAATGCATTTTAGGGGGAAATGATGACATAATGAGTAAAGTATCCACCTCGTTCACGGTCATCACACCTGTGAGTAATGAACGGAGTCTGCAGCACCCCTACTGATGACGTATTACAGAAACATTCCTGAAACGGGCTAAAAGTTTATAGCCCAAATTAAGCTTAAATGTAGGGGGCATGTCACTCTGTACGATCAACTGGCACAACTGTCACCTATTGGCTACATAAATCTACAGCGATGGGCTTGTTAGGCTTAGCCTTTTTATAGCAAAAAACTAAACCTTCCATTGAAATGTTTGTGTCTTTGAAAGACGGGGGGGGGCTTAGTCCTGCTAACCCATTATTGATACGAGCTGCCCCTGCAAAATTGTGTAGAATGTCATTGCATTCTGTAAAATTACAGTTTCCCTTCACTGGAACTAAGAGGCCCAAACCTGCTCCAGCATGACGATGCTCCTGTGCACAAAGCGAGCTCCATGAAGACATGGTGTGTGAAGGTTGGAGTGGAAGAACTCGAGTGTCCTGCACAGAGCCATGACCTCAACCCCACTGAACACCTTTGGGATGAACTGGAACTGGAGACTCCTTACCCAACATCAGAGCCTGATCTCACTAATGCTCTTGTAGCTGAATGAACACAAATCCCCACAGCCACGCTCCAACATCTAGTGGAAAGCTTCCCAGAAGAGTGGAGCTCATTATAACATCAAAGGGGGAATAAATCTGGAATGAGACGTTTAAAAAGCACATGTGGGTGCGATGGTCAGGTGTCCACAAACTTTTGGCCATATAGTGTAGCTTTCCAATGTCCAACTTCTCTGCCTGTATGAAGCATACCACTTGTCTGCTCATATTGTGGTTGTCCCTTTAACCGCTTAGCACTTGTGATTCTGTGGAATACAAATGAAGAAATTAATCCATCCTCATCCCATAAAAACATCGCTGAGTGTGCATTGCTGCTTCTCATTATACACTCTCCAAGACCATTAAGGAGGCAGAATCTGCAGTGTACGTTACAGTTTAATTGGGCTC